GTGTTCCAAGTTGGTCCATGTCACTGACCTTTGGTTTCGTGGATTCTCACCTGTTTACGACAGCTGGGATATGACTTTCAACTGGTGTTCCAAGTTGGTCCATGTCACTGACCTTTGGTTTCGTGGATTCTCACCTGTTTACGACAGCTGGGATATGACTTGTTGCAGATTGTTCCAACTGGTGTTCCAAGTTGGTCCATGTCACTGACCTTTGGTTTCGTGGATTCTCACCTGTTTACGACAGCTGGGATATGACTTGTTGCAGATTGTTCCAACTGGTGTTCCAAGTTGGTCCATATTCCTTTGTTTTCTAATGCCATTAAGTACAAGAGATATCCCCATCTTTCAAATTCTAAATCCCTGATCTGAATGAATGAATATTTTCCGTCGGAAAATCCTGTTACATATCCTTCTCAAAAGCGCTCAATTTTCAGTGGCATTAAACTACTTACGAACCCAAACAATGTCAAAGTGTAATTTTGATACATACCGTTCCACTGTGGTTGTTACGTGACACATTTGAATAATAACGTACTAAACCATGTAAATTAATAAACAGATAACTGTCTGGCGAAAACTGTAAACAGACACAATAAAGTAAAAAACATGCTTTTTTACCTCATCAACAACAATTCTTAAGCAAAACTGATGTGCAGGAAAGTTGTCCTTAGTCTCTGTGGGCTTACCAGGAAAAACAACACAAGGATCCATGGAACAGTTATCTGCGTTACCAAAGAATACTTTATTAACATTATACAAATAAATACATGTGTTTGAAGTATTCTTTATATTAGTGAGTGAGTTAAGAAAAAAAATCATTTAATAAAAATGGAGATAATTCATAAAAACTGTATATCGTATCTCATTAATAATAATGTTATATTTTCCGTTAACTTGCCGTTGAAAGTCTGGTTTCAGCAGTGACGTAGGGATAACCCATTAGCCGCTTGGGAATTTGACCCTCACAGTGAGGCAATTCGTTCAAGGCTCATATATGTATATTCATTTAAATAGTAAAATTAATTTTCGTGGCTAGTGAGTCAATACTTTTGATACAATGTGTACGTTTGATATTACGACATTCGAAAAGAAACCGAAGCCAATACAGACTTCGAACTAACAAGGAAAGTACAGTGTTGAACTTTGAAGTGATTGCATCGAAGGAAAGTGATTAATTACACTTGATTTTCTAGTCAGCACAACGGCCCATTATCTGTTAGCCTCAGTTCTTGATTGATGGATATAAATACAGGATTGTCACGATAAAGTAAATATGTTACTTAATACAATTTGTCAGCAAACTGTAAGTCTTGTTTGTTGTTATGGGCACAGCTTTACAATGGGCTATCTGTGCTCTGTCAACGGCGGGTACTGAAACCCGATTTTCAGTGTTATTAGCTCTCAGACATGCCGCTGAGCCACCGGGGGCTACTTTGAGACAACAAAACACTTAAATTATAAAAAATTTCAACATATTTTGATTATCAAATTGATGTTTTAACTGCATGTATATGGTTACTCTTCACTGTTATAATTTCTAATTTTGATTTGGATCTATATTTAAAACTATAATTTCTGGCTTTAAGTATTTAATAACAGAAATGCCAAGTTTTCACTATTCCCTGAAAGGAGAGAGAGGGGAACGGGTTAGACCACAATCATAATTAGCTACCACAATTCCGACATTATTAATAAAATTTCAATTACAACACCGCAGAAAGCCTTCGTGTACTTAGTATGGAGTTTTATTCCACAACATACTACAGCTTTTTTTTTCTAGGTAAAAGTTACTATTATTATCTAAACTTGACATCAACATCTGTGCATGTTCTATGTGTAGAAAACATTAAAAATAAACCGAGGATATCATTTGCACGTAATGAGCATTTCACAAAACATACTTACGGGTTTAGAATTATAAAATCAAAATTTCACTAGTCTTTTCATTATTCTGACAAAATTATTTCATAAACAGAGTGAGAGCTTATTGTACTGAATGTACGAGAGGTGGAGGTGACCACGTGGTGATCGTGCCCAGACTGTAAATTCAAGGGTCTTGGTTGACGCCAAGTTGCTACAAAAACGCCCTCCAGCCTTTGGAGTCGTGGACAAGTTAATTTATGAGTGAGGGTCAAATCTCACTATTTGGTCATAGAAGAGTAGTCCAAGAGTTGGCAGTGGGTGATGTTGGTCCTTGTCTATCAATTTCAAAATTATGGACGGCTATACGCAGATAGCCCTTGTGTAGGTTTGTGAAAAAATTCTAAAATAAACATACCAATTAACTATTTGTTTCTTTTGTTTTGAATTTCATGCAAAGCTACCCGAAGGCTATCTGCGCTAGCCGTCCCTAATTTAGCAATGTAAGACTAGAGGGAGGCAGTTAATCATCACCACTCACCGCCAACTTTTGAGCTACTCTTTTACGAACGAATAGTGGGATTGACCGTCACGTTATAACGCCCCCACGGCTGAAAGGGCGAGCATGTTTGGTGTGATGGAGATTCGAACCCGCGACCCGCAGATTGCGAGTCGAGCTCCCTAACCACCCGGCCATACCGGGCACCAATTAACTAAATGCATGAACCCACATACCTTAAATTCAACGAGTCTATGTCTCTCTCTATATATATTGAAGGTTTCAGCCACCAATATTTAGGAGGAAGGAGGGAGATGAACCCCGTTTTTATTTCTTATGAGAGGTTCAAACTCCAGATCATCCCCGAGTAGGCGACGTCGTTAACGTATATTATAAACAGTTAAAGTAAGTTCTGGTTTCGAAGTTTGTGTTGGTTATTATTTTACGTTTGGTTTTACCTTTACATTTACAAGTTACACTTTGTTCATGGATGTAAAGTTACGCTAAATGAATATCGTGGAATCCTTTAAAAGGATGAACATGGCGAAGCAATTCATTTGGAGAAGCTCGAGCTCGGGAAATTATGTGTTATTCTGAGAATGCGCTTCTAAACATCTATAGTACAAATACGTTGCTCCCGAGAAATATGAGTATATTTCAACATCAAAATTGAAAATGTCAATGATGAGAGGAATATATATGTATATTATCTTAACCAGCTTGTCGCTGGGTAATCCAGAAGAATATGTTAGAAGCTTCAATGCTACATTTTTTCCCAAATGATTATAAATACAAGTATCTATACATATATCATACAGCTCACCATTACAAGAGGCCTAGTCTTGTTTTTCGATTAATCTCTTTCTAGGGTTACTGTTTGTTTGTTT